TATTTTTGCCAAAAGCTTCCTTCAGAAAATGGTTTCTTACAGGTATGTGTAATCCCATGAGTTTGAAAGATATGGCAAAATCTAAAGTTAGAGCTTGTTTTTATGATGCCTAGACCTCTTCCAAGGCATATTAATATATGAGCTTCTATTTAAAATTAGTTGCATTGATATAGTGCTTTGAAGAATCACCAGGTGTAGAATGTGATGTCACCACTACCTAACAAGGAAAATCCTTTGTGGTTGGGACTGGAGGCCCTATAAATTTTCCTTTAAAGTGGCAGTTTCCAGCCTTTTTGGAACCAGGGACCAGTTTCGTGGAAGACTCCATGGACCAGGATGGAGGGGGTGGTTTCAGGATGATTCAAGCACATTAAGTTTATTGTACACTTTATTATTATTATTATTTCTTTATAATATATAATGAAATAATTATACAACTCACCTTAATGTAGAATCAGTGGGAGCCCTGAGCCCATTTTCCTGCAACTAGATGGTCCCATCTGGGTGTGATGGGAGACAGTGACAGATCATCAGATACTGGATTCTCGTAAGGAGCACGCAACCTAGATCCCTCGCATGTGAAGTTAACAATAGGATTTGTGCTCCTATGAGAATCTCATGCGGCTGCTGATCTGACAGGAGGCGGAGCTCAGGTGGTAATGCTAGTGATGGGAGAGTGGCTATAAATACAGAGGAAGCTTTGCTTGCTCACTCGACACTCACCTCCTGCTGTGTTGCCCAGTTCCTAACAGGCCATGGACTGGTATCATTCGTGGTCCGGGGGTTGGGGATGCCTGCTTTAAGTGATATAGAATGTATTTTTTTGATGTTGTCCAGATGATGACTGGCTTCTCCAAATTTATCTGAATAACAGGGCCCTGGATCATTTAAAGTTATCTTTAATCAGGTATGCCTAGACAACATGTAAGTTTCTTCGGTGTTGATCACAGTCATCAGTGTGACATAATATCTGGAGATTGCTAGTAATGCACATTTTACTAGGTTTTGTCCCATATTGAAAGTGTATAATAGGAATTAAAACATTCTCAAGAAGGATTATTAAAGGTATATTTACTAATCTTGGCATATCTTGCCAAATCCTCAGCTACATACATGTGTCAGTAGTGGCAGCAATTTATTCTATATCTTGTGTAACAACAGAGACTGGAGTAAGTGGAACTGTTTCTTTCCTTAAGTTTCAGTAGTCCACTATGGAGTGTCTAGTGTTTTTTTCTTTTCTTAACCTGACTAGCATTGCATAGAATCACTGCATCCATTACATTTTGTTTGAAAAATACTTTATTTTTATGCTTCCTGTATGAAATATTATGGAATGATCTTGCCAGTTCAGACAGGTTTTCACCATGTGCTTGGCCAGTCATTATGGAGGTTATCAATAGATAATTATCCAACTAATATGGTTGTGTACCCGTTCTCGGTTTAATAATTTGGAATGTCCTTATCAGTTATATAATCTGAGAAAGAAACAGCAATCAGTATTAATATAGAGTACAAAATAGTAGCCTTGTGTGTTAGGGTTCCCCAGGACTACTCCCCTCACTAGGAGAGCTCACAGCACTCATCATATAGTCATTATGATGACCATGATTTATTATATAAAAAGGATGCAAAGCAAAATGAGCAAAGGGAAAACGTGCATGGTAAAAATACAAAAGAAACATCCTACTTAATCTGAGATTATGGTGTTCCATAATTCCATAGCTACCTGATCTCTATAGCCATTCTCACTGAGAACAAGCAATTTGTTCTTCTTGAGTTTTTATGACTATGTAAGATATGGACGCTGAGATATTGGCCATTTCAACTTAGTAGTTTGTCTGGCATAAGGCTTCCAATGGGGTTATTTCCCACTTCAGTGGTAGCCCAAACTCTCTGTTTTCAAAAGCTGTAACATACACATGAGTCACATACCACTAGCTACACATAACAAGGTTTATTGAGAAAAACTTATGAGCAGAATAGCAAGCAGAGCACATTGCAATATTGAGATCTCTGCCAAGCTACCAAGTAGGGAAGGGAGATATTAACCGAGGCCATTCAGAAACATGTTTGTCATTCTCATTAACTGCTAACTTTTTTTTTCTATTATGAGAATAGTTTTTTGTTTATCCTATGTAATTTCCCCATAGTTTGAGTTCCATTTCTGATTATTTCAGTAATAGCATTGCTAGTGGAGCTAGATGTAGCTAGGCAACTTGTCAGTATAAGAATTATTTACACATTTACAAACTATTTCTAAGCAGTCCATCAAACTAATTTTCTTTAAGTTAATAATTTCAAGTATTTTAACCTTTTATTTTTTCCAGGCTCTTAGTCATCTTGGACTTTTACCGAACCTTTAAAAATTTTAGACTTTCTTTTCAGTTGAGGAGCCTTAAACTATTCACTATGAATATTTTGATCAACAGTAATTGTAATTTTTAAAAACTGTCAAAATATTTGTAACTTTTGACTTTTGTAACACCTATATTGAAATTTTTCTATAAAATTGATTTTTAGAATCATGTTAGTTTGTACTGTATTACACACTTTAAGTCCTAGATATTTTTGTTTGTCTTGTATATAGGAGTGCATTCCACATCTTGTATTATTGCAGATAAGAATATCAATAATATTTTATTAGTATTTTATTGATAATTTGTCTCTTATTTGCATTGATAATTAAAAATTCAGTGTAACATCAATACTTGTGAGAGAGTTTTTTCCCTAAGGGGAGGGGTATGGGTTGCGGGTTGTATTGACATTTTAGAAAATGGATGGAGTTAAGGAAAGTTCCTGAAAAAGAAGGTATTGAAAAGAAAAAAAAAAAAGAGGGCAGTTTGGGCAGTTATTATTCAATGACATTTTCCATTTTGCCTGATTTAAGAATTATGAAATGTCCATGATTATATGCATAACAGATAGTGCCCCTGTACATCTATTTGACTAGTAAGAAAAGGATGCAATGCTCAGATCTTCAGAGTTAACAAATGCTTTCGCAAGCAGGAGGAGATGCTCTTTATACCACTTCCATTGATGTTGAAGACTGTCATGTAGAGTGCTGTGAATATGCTTATATAAAAGCTGCTAAAATACATGCTCATAATTAGACTATTATATGGTAGTATTTAGACATGGAGTGATTATTATAGAGTCTTACTCTAAATCAGACAGTGAATGACACAAATTTAGTAAGATTTGTAAACCATATTTTGGTTGTTTATGGCAATTCACCAAATAATTGGGAGGGTGCAAATCACTTGCTTTATTATTATTTTCTTTGTGTCGATAGGCTGCCTTCTATAGTCATCATTGCTGTTGTCCTCCTCCTCCTCCTTCAACTCCTCCTCTTCCTTCTCCTCATTCTCCTCTTTCTCTTCCTCCTCCCTTCTCCTTCACTATCCAATCAGTAGGGCTTTGAAAGTATTTCCACATCTCTTTGACTGACACAAGCTTGAATACAGCATTGCTTGCACACCTTCCTAGTATTTTTTATTCCTGACCCCTGAGCGGAAGTATCATGCTTGTTATGCTGTGGTTCCTTATGGTTGCAAGAGACAATAGAAGTGGGGCATGCCTGAATGTGGGAATATGGTTATAAATGAACAGTATATTAGCATTTAAGGCATTGTTCTTTGTATTGCCACATAGTTTCTCTATTGTTATAAGAAAATTGCCTGTGTAGAATCAAGTGATTAATGATGTTCCATAATAACCATTTCAGAATCTTTAAAAAATTTGCTTTCTATTTTTAGCTATGTGGTAATATTAGTGTCGGGGTGGCGGTTTGTGAATAACTGTAACAGATAGTCTCCAGATGAGTGTTAGACTTTATTTTAGAACTAGTCATCTTAAATTCAGATACCTAATAGAACTAATAAATCAGGTTTGAGAATGAGATACTATCCTTAATTTAGGATAGGAAGCCCCTATTGTCTTTACTTTTAATACTGCAATTTGCTTTATAATGTCACTACAGAAGTCTGTCATAAGTTCTATGTTTTTTAAAACTGTCCACACCATATATCTATATCTATATATCTATATCTATACCTATATCTATATCTATATCTATATCTATATCTATATATCTATATCTATATCTACCTTTTTTTTTCAGAGCTGTCCTCTCCACCCCACTCCCCTTTTTTATAACCCAAACTTTGGAGTTTGAAATTCATTCTAAACTAACAAACGTAGGATAGGTGGCAGTAGGTACACTGAAAAATTTTGCTTCTGTGAGACCAAAATTCAAATTATTTTAAACACTTTGCAACAAACCTTAGGCAAATTATGTCAACTGGGGTATTAGCTGTTAAAAACAAAATGCATCAAATTCTGTTGCATTTCATAGGACTAAGAAAGCTTTGGTACATTTTTATATAGTTTGATCACTTAAATTATCATCTAAACTAGAATATTGCGACAACAAGCAAAAACTGGGATTGTGCATGCAAATCGTGACACCTGGTTACCCTAGTTCTGGAACCTGGAAATCTGATCCTTTGGCAACTGGTGGAGAATAAATACCCCTTACCTTAAAGAAAACTAACTCAGAGCTTGGGAAATTGACTTTGGTGAAAGATGGTGATGTTTTAATGTCAAAGTGACTGTGGAGTGATTTTAATTTTCATTCTGAAATAAAATTGTGGAAAAATAATTTTGGAATAAATGTGACTAAAAGGTAAATCACCAAACCATCCTGTGTTCTACTTTGGCTGAGTAAATTTTTCTTGTTCTGTGGCTTGTGACCTTGAATAATGATTATATTGGAGTATTTTAAAGGATTTCCTTAGTATTATGTGTCCCTTTAAATCACAGGACATATGTTACTGTCTTCAACTTGTTACCTAGCATCAATTTCATATTGGAATTATCATAAATTAATGAGTAATTATAATTACTTATTTAATATCCTTATGTGTTATTAAAATGATTCTTCAGTTGCAAATAAAATGGTCTTCACATAATCTAATACCAGATGTTTTATAATTCTAAAGCTCAGAGAAGAAACGATCTAGCCCTGCTATTTCAGATCTTTCACAGATCCTTAAGTCTCAAGCATTTTTAGAGAGTTCAAATGAAGTTTCAGTTGCTGAAAACCAATCCAGTAAATCTCCATTAGAGACCCATGATAAATCACTTACAACAGTATCATCCAGCAAAGAAGCTCAAGATTCACTGTCTGTTGGAACATTGGCTCAAAAAAGTGAAACAGTGATGTCACCATTCATTTTACCTCCTGTTCTTACAGAAAGTAAAAAGGTATGATATATATAGAAATTTGAAAGCTGTTTATTTCATATTGCTCCTTCAATATCCCAAATAAATACTAACCCATTTAAATGGGTTAAAAATTCAATATTTTCTTATTTCAAGAGAATTAAAAGTTTGCCTTTTAAGACAACCTGCTTTATATTTAGAATGCTGAAAGTAATATTTGGGAATCTAAGTAATATTCTTAACTTATACAAATTGTTTGATATTGATTAAAAAGTTGTGGGTTATATTTTAGTTTTAATGGTAACATAAAAGGTATGTCATTCTGAGATAAGGGAAATTTTCATAGTTTTCAGCTTCATCTACAAAAAATATTTTTATACAATAAGATGATTGCAAAAGCAACTCATTTTGAAATAATTTTATATAGGTCTCTAAACAAGATCTAAAAAATTTTTAGAATTGCTTTTGTTAAAAAGCATTTAAGTAGGAAATTTTCATGGCAAAAATGCTGGGAAAAAGAGAAAAGATAAAAAGGCTGTACATATCTGACATGTATCCACAATATATTTTAATCATACATTTTATTAAAATATTCCTATAATAATAATTTTGTAAGTCATTTGAGTTCTTCTAAAGATTAAAACAGACTAAAATATAAATCTAAACAAGGATCTTAATAATTATTAACACTATTTTCTTAGAACTATTTGTGAAGGAAAAATATCACAATATTGCTCGGGCACCCTCCTTACTATTCAGTGTTCCCAATTGCCTCTCAGGTCCATTAATTGTTCTGACTTTTAAATTTGATACATTCAGGAAATAATGAAAAATAAAATGTGTCTGCAATGACATTGTAGATGAGAGCAAAAAACTAGCTCTTTTTCTCAAAGCAGGTAATTAAATACCAGTCTTGATATATATATGTATATAATTTCTAATTACTTATTACAACTTTGTTATTAAGGCTGATGTTTCAGAAGAACAATTACAAAAGAAGACTGAAGAACAAACTTACCAAGCACCAGAAAAATCTCAAGGTAAAAAGATTCTGTTTTGGAAGATGAAAATGTGAATGATTATGTGTTCTCATGATATAATTATAAATAAATGAGGGGAGAACATTATTAAATATACAAACAACTTGTTAGGGAGTCACTGGATAGCATGCAAATATAACAACAATTATAAAAAATTAACTTGGTGGGCCGGGCACGGTGGCTCACGCCTGTAGTCCCAGCACTTTGGGAGGCCAAGGCGGGTGGATCACGAGGTCAGGAGTTCGAGCCCAGCCTGACTAACATAATGAAACCCTATCTCTATTAAAAATACAAAAATTAGCCTGGCATGGTGGTGCGTGCTTGTAATCTCAGCTACTCAGGAGGTGGAGGCAGGAGAATCGCTTGAACCTGGGAGGTGGAGGTTGCAGTGAGCGGAGATCACACCACTGCACTCCAGCCTGGGTGACAGAGTGACACTTCATCTCAAAAAAAAAAAAAAAAAAAAAAAAAAAAAAATTGGTGAGTTATCATTATATTACTTAGAGAATCGATTTTAACTAAGATCTGTGTAAAGGGGAAGCGGTAGCTTTATCTCAAGCAAATAATAGTAGGTGGCATTATGAATTCTTAATATGACACCCAAAATTAATCTAAGCATAGCAGGAAAAAAGATGATTTCTGTATACATAATATTTTTGCTAGGTTATTTAGGTGTTTGATATATTATACGGTTAAAAGCAAAGATAATTTTTTTTCTTCCTTTCCAACATATATAATGTTAGTATTCAATCCATATTTTATTGCATTGACCTAAACTTAAATTTTTTTTTATTATTATACCTTAAGTTCTGGGATACATGTGCAGAACGTGCAGGTTTGTTACATAGGTACACATGTACCGTGGTGGTTTGCTGCACCCATCAACCCGTCATCTACATTAGGTATTTCTCCTAATGCTATCCCTCCCCTAGCCCCCACCCCCAACAGTTCCCCTCCCTGTGTCCATGTGTTCTCATTGTTCAACTCCCACTTATATGTAAGAACATGTGGTGTGTGGTTTTCTGTTCTTGTGTTAGTTTGCAGAGAATGATGGTTTCCAGCTTCATCCATGTCCCTGCAAAGGACATGAACTCATCCTTTTCATGGCTGCATAATATTCCATGGTGTATATGTACCATATTTTCTTTATCCAGTCTATCATTGATGGGCATTTGGGTTGGTTCCAAGCCTTTGTTATTGTGAGCAGTGCCACAATAAACATACATGTGCATGTGTCTTTATAGTAAAATGATTTATAATCCTTTGTATATACCCAGTAATGGAATTGCTGGGTCAAATGATATTTCTAAGTTCTAGATCCTTGAGGAATCGCCACATTGTCTTCCACAATGGTTGAACTAATTTAGACTCCCACCGACAGTGTAAAAGCATTCCTATTTCTCCACATCCTCTCCGGAATCTGCTGCTTCCTGGCTTTTTAATGATCACCATTCTAATTGATGTGAGATGTTACCTCATTGTGGTTTTGATTTGCATTTCTCTAATGACCAGTGATGATGAGCTTTTTTTCATATGTTTGTTGACTGCATAAATGTCTTCTTTTGAAAAGTGTCTGTTCATATGCTTCACCCACTTTTTGATGGGGTTGTTTTTTTCTTGTAAATTTGTTTAAGTTCTTTGTAGAGTCTGGATATTAGCCCTTTGTCAGATGGATAGATTGCAAAATTGTTCTCCCATTCTGTAGGTTGCCTGTTCACTCTGATGATAGTTTCTTTTGCTGTGCAGAAGCTCTTTAGTTTAATTGGATCTTATTTGTCAATTTTGGCTTTTGTTGCCATTGCTTTTGGTGTTTTAGTCATGAAGTCTTTGCCCATGCCTATGTCCTGAGTGATATTGCCTAGGTTTTCTTCTAGGGATTTTATGGTTTTAGGTCTTACGTTTAAGTCTTTAATCCATCTTGAGTTAATTTTTGTATAAGGTATAAGAAAGGGATCCAGTTTCAGTTTTCTGCATATGGCTAGCCACTTTCCCAACACCATTTATTAAATAGGGGATCCTTTCCCTATTGCTTGTTTTTGTCAGGTTTGTCAAAGATCAGATGGTTGTAGATGTGTAGTGTTATTTCTGAGGCCTCTGTTCTGTTCCATTGGTCTATATTTCTGTTTTGGTACCAGTACCCCGCTGATTTGGCTACTGTAGCCTTGTAATATAGTTTGAAGTCAGGTAGTGTGATGCCTCCAGCTTTGTTCTTTTTGTTTTTACTTTAAAAACAATATTAAATGGTCGTGGTGTAGGATACAGGAGCAACACTCTTCTGTTGTGTTTTAAGTGGGAATGCCTGTAACTGTTTGACCTGTGATGATCCATTATCTGAGCTAAATATTCATTATTATCTAAAGACGTTTTCTTTTATCCCAGCAGTCAAGTTGAACTGAATTAATCAAGTTAAAATTTTCAAAATATGAAGTATACATAACATAAAATATATCATTTTAACCATTTTTAAGTATACAATTCAGTGGAATTAATTATATTCACATTGTTGTGCAAACATCACTAACATCTATTTCCACTTTTCATCACCCCCAAAGGAAACTCATTAAGCAATAACTCTCATTCCCTGCATTTTCCTCCATTTTGGGTTGCTGTAACAGAATACCACAAACTGGCTAATATAAAGAAAAAATTATTTTTTACATTTCTGAAGGCTGGGGAGTCCAAGGTCAAGGGACCTGCCTCTGGCTACAGCCTTCTTGCTACATCATCCCATGGCAGAAGGCAGAAGGGTGAGAGAGCATGAGAGAGCAACAGAGAGAGGAAGGGGGACAAACTCAGGACGCTACTTAGTGATAACTAACCCCCTCCTACAATAATGGTATTAAGCTATTCATGAGGATGAAGCCCTCATGACCTAATTATGTCTTAAAGAGCCTAACTCTCAACATTGTTGCAGCAGGGATTAAGTTTCTAGTATATGAACTTTAGGAGGCACGTTTAAATCAAAGCACACACTGATTTGTATTCTGTAACTGCTGAATTTATATGTTAACTCTTATGTTTTTGTGTGGAACCTTTGAAATTATATATATATGAATCATCTGTGAATAAAGATAGTTTTACTTCTTCTTTTCCAATTTGTATGCCCTTTGTTTCTTTTTATTTTCTAATTTCTCTGGCTGGATCTTTTAGTACAATGTTGAATAACAGTGATGAAAGCAGATGTGCTCATTTTTTTCCTTAAGAGGAAAATTTTCAGTCTTTCACAATTGGATACTGCTATGGTTTGAATGTGTACCCTAAAAGTTCGTGTGCTGGAAACTTGGTCCCCATTGTAGCAGTGTTGAGAGGTGGAACCTTTGGGAGTTGATTGGGGTCATGGAGGCCTTGCCACATGAATAAATTAATCCATTCATAGATTACTGGGTTATCAAGAGAATGGGTCTTTTATAAAAGCAAGTTTGTCTGTCTCTTGTGAGCCTCTTCACCATGTGATGCCCAGAACAGCCTCAGCAGTCTGCAGAGAGTCCCCACCAGCAAGGAGACACTCCTCCGATGTAGCTCCTCAACTTTGAAATCCCCAGCCTTCAGAACTGTAAGAAATAAATTTCTTTTCTTTACAAATTACCTAGTCTCAGGTATTCAGTTATAGCAATAGAAAATGGACTAAGGCAGGTATGTTAGATGTGGGTTTTTATAAATGTACTTTATCATGTTGTGGAAGTTTTCTTCTATTCATAGTTTTGTGACAGTGTTTTTTAAACTATGAAATGGTAACAGATTTTGTCATGTGCATTTTTTTGAATCAATTGAGATGAAATGATTATGTTTTTTTTTTCCCTTGTTCTATTAATGTGGTGTATTATATTGAATGATTTTCCTAGTTTGAACCACACTTTCATTCCTGGGATAAATCCTACTTGGTCTTGATGTATGATTCTTTTAATATGCCATTAGTCCATTTTCTAGTATTTTTGAGAAGTTTTACATCTGTATCATAAGGATATTGCTCTGTATGTTTTTAAAAATAATATCTTTTTCTGGTTCTGGTATCATGGTGATGTTGGTCTTATTTTGTAAGTTTTACCTGTTCTTTTATTTTTTGGAAGAGTGTGAGGAGGATTGGTGTTAAATCTTCTTTAAATGTTTCATAGAATTCATCAGTGAGGCCATCTGGTCCTAGACATTTCTTTGTTGAAAGGTTTAGGATTACCAGTTCAATTTTTTTACTAGTTATAGGTCTATTCAGATTTTCTTTTTAAATTTTTAGTTCACAATTTTTTTCTGGATACATAGTTGGTATATATATTTATGGGGAATATCAGGTATTTTGATACCGCATATAATGTGTAATACTCACAGTAGGGTGAATGGGGTATCCATCAACTCAAGTATCTATCCTTTGTGTTACAAATAATCCAATTATACTTTCTTAGTTATTTAAAAATGTATAATTAAATTATTATTGACTATAGTCACCCTGTTGTGCTATCAAATACTAGATCTTACTCATTCTTTCTGTTTTTGTGTACTCATCCTCATTTCCCCCACTATGCTTACCAGCCTCTGGTTAACCATCCTTCTACTCTCAATTTCCATCCATGAGTTCAATTGTTTCAATTTTTAGCTCCCACAAATAAGTGAAAACATGCAGTTTGTCTTTCTGTGCCTGGCTTATTTCACTTAACATAATGTCCTCCAGTTCCATCTATGTTGTTGCACATAAACAGGCTCTCATTCCTTTTATGGCTGAATAGTACTCCATTGTGTGTATGTACCACATTTTCTTTTTCTTTATTCATTCATCTGTTGCTGGACACTTAGGCTGCTTCCAAATTTTGGCTATTTCATTATTTTGAAAGACTTGTTTTGTGGCCTAACGAATGGTCTATGCTCGAGAATAATCCATGTGCTGAGGAGAAAAATGTGTATTCTGGTGCCCCTGAAAGAAGCGTTCTGTAAATATCTATTTAGTTTATAGTGTAGATTAAGTACAAGGTTTCTTTGTTGATTTTCTGTCTGGATGAGCTGTCTAATGCTGA